AATAATTTTCATGATGTGGACAAAGATGCATGGACAAACATGATCTTCACAGTAACCTCCACTGTAATTACAGAAAGAACCTGAAGAGGGTGGAGGAAAGAGGGAGAGGTTGGTAAAAGGGTACAAACTTTCAGCTCTACCATGAATAGGGTCTCAGGAGTGAATGTAACCCATGGGAGCTATAGTTGGTGACACTGTATTGTACAATTGGAACTTGCTAAGAGAGAACTTAAATTTGTCACCAAAATTAAAGAAATGAATGAGATGATGGATGTGCTGATTAAGTAGGTGGAGGAGAATCTTTTCACAATACACATATCAAATCACTACAAGGAACATTTTAAATATCCTATACATTTATTGGTCAGTCATACCTCAATGAAGCAAAAATTTGTTTTTGTTTTAAAGAGAACCTGAAAAAACTTTAATTTCCAAAAATCATGAATGCATGTTGAAATGTTCAGAATATAAAGATAAATTAGAGAAAACATGTAAATTAAATGATATCCCTTACATACATACATAATTTGAAAGGAAATATATATTGTGACAAAGTCACTCGGTGTTTTTACCATTTCTCTGTGTTTTTCTCTAGTCCCTACATTTTCTGCACCAATTATGCATTAAAAGCTGTGGTTTGAGGCTGAAGGTGGGAGATGAGGTTCTATAGGAGGCAGATCCTTTCAGGTTGGGAAGAAATTGTGGTTGCAGGCTAAAGGAAAAGAACAAGGATGAAAAAGATAAAGAAGGTAAAGAAACAGTGAAGCTCAGGATAGAGAAAGCAAAGAGGGAGGAGGAGGAGAGAAGGAGAAGGGGAGAGGGGAGGAGGGGGAGGGGACCATGTCTTGTATCAATCAGTTAGGGACATTCTGGGCATCGAGCTAAGTATTCTACCTGCAGTATCTCATTTTATCTTCACAATATCCTTTACAGTGGAATTATTACACACATCTATTTATAGAAGAGAAATCCAAGGCTTAGGGAAGTAAAACAACTTGCCAAAGGCCACACAGCAATGACGCAGTGAAACTGACACCAGAAGTCAAGCGCACTGACCCCCCGCCAAGTGCACTCACAGCTCCCCTCCACTGCCTCCTGAGATTCAAGTGAAACAATGAGATTCCATGTCAACTTGTCAGAAAGCAAAATGTTCTGAAATAATTCTCAGTAGTGGAGAGGATGTGGTGAGTATTGCTCCTGATACAGAGTTTGCTCCCCATAAACGAGATGTAAGGGAATAGAAATACTTGTCAGGACCCGGCACAGGGCACAGCGGGGATGGTTCTCGGCACACACACCCTCTCTCCTGCTCTTCTGTTAGGGTCACCGGGAGCCTCCGTTAGGCTCTCGGCAGTGCACAGCGTTGTGCCGGATACTAAGCGAGCAAGACGGGCTCCCTGCCCTCCAGGGACTCCCAGCATAGCAGAATCTCTAGAAAAATCTGCAGACAACTCAGTGCAACAGTTAAGGTGCTGTGGGAGAACATGAGAAGCAACCATAGGATGACACACTGTGTGTGTGCGTGTGTGCGTGTGTGCCTGGGTGTGTGCATGTCTGTGTGTGTGTTGAGAGCACATGTCAGGGGCAGGTTCCTGGACTGGACTGTGTCCGTGGTATTTAGAAACAGCAGCTA